CTAAATATCTTTATATATTAACAACTCATTGCATGCCTGTTTTTTCTCTCTCTTTAAAATATATTTTGTCCCATTGACCAAATGGTATCAACAATAGAAAGTTCTCCATATTATTGGTGACCACAACAATCCACAGGAGATTTTGAAAGGGAGAGATACTGAGGGAAAGGAAAATAGAAACTAACGGGAGGAAAATGTGGAAAACTTACCACAAAATGGGAAGGAAGGAAGAAAAGAATTGACGGAGAAGTAGGGTTAAGAAATTTTAGCTTCTTTAAGGTAGCTTGAGGACAGTAAAAGCTGGAGTAGGGAATAGTGGAATGTAAAAGAAAAAAAAATTAATTGAGTTACTGATGGAAACCATTATTTGGAAGAGACGATATGAGGAGGGGTGGGTACCTGCTAATGTTGGCAGGAAAACAATAAAGGGTGATTGAAGGAAAAGCACAAGTGGTTTAGAATGTTGTACACTTTTAGCTGGAAGCTTTAATGACCCAGATAGAGAAGCTACTTAATTGTCTTTGTCCTCTAGTACAGTGGTCGGCAAACTGCGGCTCGTGAGCCACATGCAGCTCTTTGGCCCCTTGAGTGTGGCTCTTCCATAAAATACCAGGTGCGGGTGTGCATGTACAGTGTGATTTAAACTTCATGGCCCATGTGCAGAAGTCGGATTTTGGCTCTCAAAAGAAATTTCAATCGTTGTACTGTTGATATTTGGCTGTGTTGACTAATGAGTTTGCCAACCACTGCTCTAGTGTATGTATTACCTTTATAATTGAAATTTTTTCCTTATGGACTGTCCAAATTGAAGTTCTATCTTTTTCTATGCCTTAATAGTTTTTTTTTAAACTATAATATGACCATTTTATTACCAACCCACTAGTATTTGAATATAATTATGGACAAAGTTTATGCTGAATGTTCATATACATCCTTTATCTAACTTGGTTATTAATCCAGATTTTATAGCTATATGACTTAGCTAATCAGTGTATTATAGATTGATGGAAATACCTAGTCTGCCAAAGAACTTTTCTGCAGGAATTTTTTCAGTTTTAGTAATTTTCTTAGGTTGACCATGTAAAATTGTCTCAAATATTTTTTATTACTAAGGACAAAGATGTTCTGTGAATTCTAATGATACAAAGTGAGTTAGTGGTCAGTATAGAACTTTATCATAGTTAATCAACATCTTTGTCATTGGTATGACAGATTAGGAAAATAAGAAAGCCTTTAGAGGCATTGGAGCATGTATAATTGAGGGAGGAAGAATTCTTGCCACATTTTTTTCTTTGTCGTCATTTTGCTCATTTTCACTAAACTGCTTTTAACTTAGGGTAACCCCCTTCCCCACACCATTAGGGCTTGTTAAATATTGCTAGAATGTGCTAATAGAATAAGAAAGCCATAGGTGCTAGTGTGCGTGCCAGGCTAACTTTCTAGGGTTGTTTATTTGGGGATAATAGAGTTATCATTTACTTGTGCTTTTTAAAACAAAATAATCTTTTTTTGTATTCAGTGGGAAAGGAAATGGTAAGAGAAGTAGGCTGCCATGTGGCTTGATTGAGACTCTCTTTACAGTTAGAATGGGACCTAACCTAAGTGTTTGTCTCAAACTCTCTCACATAGATACACAAATGGCCCACACTAAGCATTAGCCCTCAACAAAGCCCAAATGACTTTAATAAGTTTTATTTTTAATCAAAATTACTTGTTTGTCAATGAGCCAAACAGCTTATATATGTAGTACCTTCTCTTCTGAAAAGCCTGTTGCCTGGGAACTCAAGTTGTAATCAGAAGGAGCAGTGTGACAGATCCTGATATTTGAAGTACGTAGTCGAACCAGTGCAAGGTGCTGCCAGGACTAGCTCACCTTAGGCCTTCTCGGAGAGAAATTAAGGTCATAGCTAGCATATTAATAGATGAATCTGCTTTTCTTAAGTGAGATAAATCTTTTCTCTCGCCATTTCCCTTAATACTGTCTCAAATTTTGAAACTGATTTTTTTCAGATTTAATTCAAACACATTAATATTTGAGGGCCAAGAATAAGTATTTTCTATTTTATTTTCCCTCTTCCCTATTCTTTAAAAATTTGATGGGAAAAGTAATAAATGCACACGGTGGAAAGTTCAAACCCTACCAAAAAATCATATAGTCCAATAAAGCATTCATCTCCCTTCATTGCCCTTCCCAAGAGGCAACTACTACTCTTTAAACATGTTTTTATTGATTTCAAAGAGAGAAAGGGAGAGGGAAAGAGGGATGGAAACAATGATGAGAGAAAAACATTATGGACTGGTTGCCTCCTGCATGCCCTTTTCTGGGAATTGAACTGTGACTTTTCAGAAACCCCCCTGCATGTACCCTAACTGGGAATTGAACTGTGACTTCAGGTTCATAGGTCAATGCTCAACCAGTGAGCCACACAGCATAGGCTAGACAACTGCTCTTTAAAAAAAAAAAAAAAAAAAAAAAAAAAAATATATATATATATATATATATATATATATATATATATATATATTATTGTTATTATTATTGATTTTAGAGAGAGAGAGGGAGAAACATCCATGAGAGAGTTTGATGCTCTGCTCTGGTCTTGTTCATTAGTTGTTTTTTTTATTTCAGAGAGGAAAGTAGAGGGAGATAGAGACAGAAACATAAGTGATAAGAGAATCATTGATCAGCTGCCTTCTGCATTCCCCCTACCTGGGATTGAGCCCACAACCTGGGCATGTGCCCCTGACCGGAATCGAACATGGAACCCTTCACTCCTCAGGCCAACACTATTATCCAATGAGCCAAACTGGCAAGGGTTGAGGCATCTGCTCTTAATAGCTTATTGTCTGTCTTTGCAAATATATTTTATATTTTTCTTTTTTAAATATATTTTATTGATTTTGTACAGAGAGGAAGGGAGAAAGATAGAGAGCTAGAAACATTGATGAGAGAGAAAGTCATCGACCAGCTGCCTCTTGCATACCCCCTAATGGGGATATGCCCGCAACCAAGGTACATGCCTTTGACTGGAATCGAACCCGGGACCTTTCAGTCCCCAAGCCGACGCTCTATCCATTGAGCCAAACCGGTCTCGGCTTTCTTTTTCAAAAACACAAATTTATACACATCATTGTATACCTTTGTGTTTCCTTTTCACTTGCTAAACTTGGAGATGGGAACAGATACTTTTTTTCCTTATTAAGACCATGTTCTTTTTTAAAAAAAATGTGTTTTTATCAATTTTTAGAGAGAAAGAAGGGAGAGGGATAGATATCAACATAGATGAGAGAGAAACACTATCGACTGCTTGCCTCCTGCACACCTGTACTTGGGATTGAGCCTGCAACCTAGGCATATGCTCTGTCTGGGAATCAAACCATGACCTATTGGTTCCTGGGATAGATAGATGCTCAACTTCTGAGCCACACTGGCTGGAAGGGAACAAACACTTTTTACATTTAAATTCGTTCTGTGGACATTTGCTTTTAACATATATAGTTGCTACTGGGGAATCCCATATTACCCAGATTATATTGAGGTACAGATGATAATTTCACTTCAGTGATTTTCACTTTTTTTTTTTTTAGCTTCCTCCCCTGCCCTTACATTTTAAAAAACTTTCACAGAATTCCTGATTTTTTTGTAATTCTATGCTCATCAAGGGCATATGAGAACCATGGACCCTCCTGGGACATGGAAACCCGGGGTAGGTCTCCTGCTGTCCCAGCACTGGGTTTTGCTATGCTGAACTGTCCCTAGAGATCTGATCAGCCTCAAGATGTCAGCTCTGGCCTTCTTCCTGTAGATTTCATCTCCTGGGCTTCCAGTGCCCCTCGGGATCCAGTGCCCTCCCTGTAGGATCTGCAGTCTGGGGCCATGATTATCAGGGCATGTCCACAGCATAGCACCCTCACAGGCAATTTGTGGACCCCACCTAGTGACCCTGTTTGTTTATCAGCTCTCTATTGTAAGAGGAATGACATCCATTGCACACTCTCAGTATTAGCTAGTGGTCACTTGACGTATACAAATGGGGAGGAGGGCGGCATGGGAGATGCTTCCATTGTACCCAATTATCAGAAAAATTGTGTACAAATCTTACTTTTAGAAAGTGTAAATTTTATTAACTTAAGAATAGTACCAAAAGATTAACTCATTAGGCAGAGATAACAATATGTATTTAGTTTATAAATTAAAAAAACAACTGGCTGACCCAAATAATTCTCCGTGTTTCTTATGGGTTATTTCTGCATGACAACACTATTCCTTCAATTATAAAATTCTTTGAAACAAAAATTCAAATGTGTTAGTGTAGCTAGATCCTGAACATTAGGAATAGGTGATTTTTAACATGTCAGAGAAAATTCTGGATGCTATTTGTATGAAGTATTGGAAAGGAAGTGATTGAGATTCCTGGTTATTTCTATGGAGAACAGTCACTTTTTCATTCCACTAAGTCTTGTTACCACCAGAGGACTTTGCTGACAGTAATGTCCTTGAATGAAGGGGTTTGTGGTAAGGGGGAGTATTATGGCTAGTAAGAAGCTTGTGTTTGTCTGTGAGACATCAGTCATTGCCTTGTCTGTAATTTTTTATCTTACTGGCCCTTCCCCTCACAGATATTTCCCTTCCATGTTTCATTTCAGATTTTCTTCCCAATTCATTGACCCTTTTCTCTGCTCAGTTTTCTCACATCCTGCTTTCATTCTATTTGTTACTGTGCTTATATTTTCTCCTGTCTATAAAGTTTCTGAAACTCTCTTTGTGTTATACTAACAAGTAGTCTTCCTTGGCATGGTATGTATTAACTGAGCTAGTTTTCATATGTCAATAAAAACTGCATTAGGAATCTAAATACTTCTATTTTGGTTTGCTTTTACAATGAAGCCATAAAGATTTCCTCCTCTTCTGGCTTATAGAGAGTACTTACAAACAGCAAAAAAGAGAAACTGGTTTATACTTAGCATCCAAGCTAATGTTGTTCATATTGTCTTATTAGAACACCTGGAGAGTGCAAGTTCTAACTCAGGTATACCAGCTGTACAGAGAGGTGAGTTCATCTAATCAAATAGTCACCAAGGTGTGAAATTCTAGTGTGGTGGTGCATAAACATACAGACATTGGAAAAATGCACTGGACAGTGGAATTCAGACACCAAAATGTGGCTTTACTGTAGTTAGAATGTGTCTCAAAAATATTAATAAAACTAATATTTTAAAAATTAAAGCATTTTTAGTTTTTCAGTTTCTAAAAATAAAATTTTAGCCTTTTAATATATATTTTTAGTTCAGTAAAAGCGGAACTTGTTAGATTCACACCTGCTGCCCACCCCGGTGTTATGAGAAGCTTTGTTGCCATAAACGTACATGGAAAAGAGATTATGGACAGAAGCGATCCTTTGTCTTTCCTGTTACTCTTGGTAGAAAGAAGGTGTTTTAATAAAAGATAAGTCAACTAGTGGTTTTTTTCATCTATTCAACATTTGACTCACTATTTTTTGTTCTGATTTTAAAGTAGACATAGGAAGGCAAATATTCACAAAGTTTGGATTGCAAATTAAAGTCCTAAAGTATAAACAGCTAAAACATTGTAAAGTAAAAAAGAATGCGGAGAAAGTTAGTGAAAACATGGTATATGGTCCTGATATTTCTGTTAAACCCTACTTCCGTTTTCCCTAAGAGACCACACAACTATGACATCACCAGAAACGCTCAGCCAGCTAACTGAGAAATTGGTTTTGGACAAATCAGTGTCTAAAGCTTGACTCTTTACTGTCTCTCTTATCTGACTTGAAAGGGACCATTCTTTTTCTGTATTACAGTTAAGTTACATCATCAGAAGGAGTGTTATGACGAGTAAGAGACGTCATACATATTTTTTCTTTTGTTTTCTGTCTGTGTTTCCAGCAACGTCAGTTGATTACAGTTCCTTTGCAGACAGATGCAGCAGCTGGATAGAGCTCATTAAACTGAAAGCTCAGACCATAAGGCGCGGATCAATTAAGACAAGTAGGCGGATGTTTCTACCACATTATGATCTGAGAAGCATACCCCTGATTTCCCAGTGGTGAAGGCTAGACTTTCCCACCCAGTAATAACATTGCGAATCAATCATGTGTTGGAGTGTGAAAGCTGCAGGCTAATGGTCATTTAGCAGAAGTTATTGAAGGGCCTTTAGATTTGTTGATTTTAACTGTAGAATTTTTTTTTTTAGTTTAACTTTTTGTGAAGATATTCTTAAAAGTATATAAATAGATATTATACTCTAGTGGAAGGAAATTGTCAGCTCTCTTATTGAAGAGATACAATTCCAGGATCCAACATATGGCATGTGTCAGTTTATCAAGTGTGATATCCAGAGGGCTGAAAGAATGAGGTATTTTTAGAAAGAAAGTAAACTCTTTATCTTTTAGAATCAAGATCATCAGATGCTCTTTATCTATACTCCATGTGTTTTGGTAGATTCGGAGGTAAATGTATTTGAGTGTCAGAGTTCACAATACATTAATAGGGAAGGAACTATGTTTTAGAGGAAAGATCACAGGATATGGAACCTGTTAGATCTGGTTTTGAACCTTAGAAGTGCCATTTTAATAGCTGTGTGGCCTTGGGAAAGTTATTAAACTTCTCTCAGCCTCAGTTTCCTCATGTTGAAAATGGGGATAAAACCTAGGTGGTTGGGTTGTTGTAAGGATTAGGTGTATATATGTGCCTGCTTTATAATAGTTATTTGATAAGTGGTAGCTATTATTATATTTTATAACAATCAACTTTGAGATAGCCAAGGTTATTTCTCAGTTTTTTAAAATTATGAGTTTGATCAAAATGGTTTAGAAAATAAACCTATTATAACTAGTTAACAAGGTTTATCTACAAGTTGACAATGATGAAGTCATCTGAGAAAGTTGGGGAAAAAAAACTGGGAAATATAACAACTTTCACACTCTTTGTGATAATTTGTTCCCACAGCAGATAATTTTTAATTGCTCTGCCGCTTTTCCCTTTTCTTCACTTTATAACGATCATTGTATGTATAGCTACACCGCATCAACATTTTCTTTTGCAGGAATGCCATTTTCCTTCCAAAAGAATTCCATTCCAGCATTTTCTCTTATGTTTTTCTTTCTCTTTTTCTTTAAATTGCATGCAGTGCATGATAATTTCTCGACTTTCATGACATGGCTTAGCCTCACTGACAGCTGAATGTTGTCACCACTTACTCGGAAACCTTGGGGAATAATTGAGTTACTAGCATCTGATCTTGGTGTTTTCTCTTCTTTCTTCAATTTTTAGCTGTGACAGTTGAAAAAGCAAGTCCAATGGGTGAAGGAAATTTCCGGAATCGTTCTGTTCCACCTTGTGCAAATTCTACAGTTGGGGTTGTTAAGATGACACCTCTTTCTTTCATTCCTGGAGCAAAAATAACAAAGTATCTTGGGATAATTAACATGTTTTTTATTCGGGAAACCACTTCTCTACGTGAGGTAATTTTATGGATGTTATTTTATTATTTTTGTGAATTTTCTCTGATTGAAGATATTAGTGACAAAACTAAACAAGTTTCAAATATTATCATTTTTTTTTTCCAAAAGTAACACACACAGCTTTATCCCCCCTCCCAATAACCTGTCTGGATTGCTTGTAGATTAGATTTACCAAATTTCACACAGTAGTTAGCATTATCACAAGACATGAACAAAACAGATAGAGCTCCTGGCCCGATAGAATTTACAGTCTAGTGAAACTGGAGCATGGTGGACATGAAACAAATAATTATGTAACCATTAGTGATAGTAAGTGATATAAAGAAATATAACAGAGGCCATTAGAAAATATACTGGGGGAACTCACTTTAGATTTAAGGAAGGTATCTCTGAGGAAGTTCCATTTCAGCCAGGACCTAAAGAACTAGATATGAATTAGCCTGGTAGAAAATTGGGTAACAATCCTTAGAACCTCCAGGAGCAGTATATGTAAAGACCTTGAGGCAGAGAAAGTGCTTAACACTTTTGAGAAACTGATAAAAGGTAAACATGACTAGAACATGGTTCAGAAGGGGAGTTGTGAATAGCAGGGAGGTTTTATTGTTTATATTTATCACTAATTTATTCAAAGGAGGATGGGAACAATTTGATAGAGGGAGATGTTGAAGATGGAGGAACAATTTGAATTCTTGCTCTGCCATTTATTTACTAATCATGTGATCATAGCTAGTCATGGGCACATTACAAATTCTTTGAGCTTCATCATCTGTAAAATAAGGAGAGTAATCCCTATCATATAACTATGTTCAGTAAAGTTTTGTTCATTCGTGCAACAAGTCCTCACAAAGGACATTAAAATAATCCATTATATTAAGATCATTGAAGATGGTTTAATATTTCTTCTTTGCCATTTTATATACATTTATTTACACAAGTACATCATTTGATTTTCCTGTGCATTATTATGCAGGAAGGAGGAGTCAGTGGTTTTCTTCATGCTTTTGTCGCTGAGGTGTTTGCAATGGTGAGAGCTCATGTTGCTGCATTAGGAGGGAATGCTGTTGTCTCCTACATCATGAAGCAGTGTGTCTTCATGGAGAACCCAAATAAGAACCAGGTAAGAGGTAGTTAAAGACCTCTGGCCTAGAATGCGGGAATGTCCCCCTAGGCCTTCCCACCTGCCACGCTCCCCTGCAAAAGAGATTTGCTCTTTATAAAGCTCTTTGATTCTCAATGTTTAGAACGTGTTCTAAAGAATATTTCTAATAAAAGCCTAAGCGACCATTATGGTGGACTGACCAGAACGACCAGTCACTGTGATACACACTGACCATCGAGGGCAGGCGCTCGATGCAGGAGCTGTCCCCTGGTGGTCAGTGTGCTCAAGGGGAGTGCCGCTCAACCTGAAGCCGGGCTCACGGCTAGCTAGTGCAGCGGTGGTAGCAGGAGCCTCTCCTGCCTCCGCAGCGGCATTAAGGAGCAGCGAGTCCAGCAGTAAGGAAGAAGGGGTCCCGTACTGAGAGAGGGATCCCAGGCTATGAGAGGGCACAGGCCAGGCTAAGGGAAACCCCTCCGCCCCCAGTGCATGAATTTCGTGCACTAGACCTGTAGTATATTGATAACCATGGTCATATAGAGGTCAGATGCAGTTGTCACATTCCAGGTGACCAGCTGCTCCTAAATACTTCTAGAAGTTTTGCTTCTAATTTACTTTTTTCTTTTTAATATATATTTTATTGATTTTTTACAGAGAGGAAGGGAGAGGATAGGGAGTTAGAAACATCGATGAGAGAGAAACATCAATCAGCTGCCTACTGCACACCCTCTACAGGGGATGTGCCCGCAACCAAGGTACATGCCCTTGACTGGAATTGAACCTCTCAGTCTGCAGTCTGATACTCTATCCACTGAGCCAAACTGGTTAGGGCATAATTTACTACTTTTTTCATCATCTTCTTGGTGGGTCTTTGGTAAACAGTGATGGCTGACTGAGGAGAGTTAAAAATGCCTCCCAACTGGCGTGGCTCAGTGGTTGAGCAACAACCTATGAATCAGGAGGTCACAGTTGTATTCCTGGTGTCAGGGCATATGCTTGGGTTGCAGGCTTGATCCCCATTGGGGAGAGGGAAGAGGTGTTTCTATCTTTTTCTTCCTTTCCATTCATCTCTGAAATACATACACACACACACACACACACACACACACACACACACTTCAAAAGCCCTCCTCTAGTTTGGATTATGATGCCATCAGGTTCTCACTGCCATGCTGGTGAAAAGTACATCATAATGAGGCCACACTGCTTTGTTTTGTTTTTAAACAAGTAATGTAATTCTGTTAATGGGGGCTAAAGTGTATTGCTTAGGTTAAATTTTAGAATACATTTCTTTTATCATTTTTGTTAAGGTAACTCACTTAAGTTAAAGAGTCCTTTAAAAATTAAATGACTATAATGATTGTTTCTTTGAGTTTACTTTAGGAATTGCCTTATTTTTCTTTGTTCCTTTCTCTAGTGGGATGTCTATTCTCTAATGAATGTGGTACCCCTAATTTAACAGACGAGTATGAGCCTATTGTTGAATTTGTAACTGAACATGTCCCATTGTTCTTACAGGCACAGTGTCTTATAAATGTGAGTGGTGATGCGGTGGTTTTTGTCCGAGAATCTGAATTAGAAATGGTAACATCTCAGCCGTCTACTGCCAACTGCCAGTCGTCGTGTCCGGGAGGAGAAGTGACAACTTGAAGTAAATTAGAAAGAAAGAGCTCAGCTGCGTGAAATTTATCTGTCTCCATCGTTTCTCATTATCTTCCTAGACTTCTTAAAAAATTGAACTTGACCTGAGATTATTCAAAAAGAACTGATACATTATGAGTAGATTAGATTTGTCTAGAATCTCTTGGAGGCATGAGAGTTTTCTAATCTTGACATTTTGTTTGCCAAGCCTAGATAGACAGGCCCCATGGGATCTTGACCCCTGAGTAAGTTAAGTTTCTCGGAGAACTGTAGGTGGACAATATTTGCAATTTATGTTGATTTTTGTAAAATCATAATTCACGAAATGAAATGGGAAGATCTTCAGGAAACTAGGATAGCTGCCCTTGTGTAACTTATAAAAGTTAAGCAACAGGTTCACAAATTGTTAATGAAGTAATGGTCTGATTTGAGGGATGCGTGGGAAAATGGAGAGAAGTTTTCAGAAGATGATGTAGGTTTCTCAAATGCGTTTTATTTTGATGAGGTATTTGGTCACAACTGAAAGGGAGCAGTGCTTCGGCCATCTTTTAAAAAGAAGCTCCAGTTCCACTGCTTGTATCCATATGTCTTAGCTACTGTGAAAGAAGACGGATATCAGTGCCTGTGTCCTTTCATTGAAAGTTTTAATGATATATCTAAGGAGGGAGGAAAGTAAATTACTATTTAACTTTATAAGTGTCCCATTTCAGTTGGTGCTTAATTTGTCTAGAAGAGGTTTGGCTTCACCAGGGAAGAAAAGGTCAGTGAATTTTATTGAAATAGTTAAAATATAATTGAGATAATAGGAACATAAAATTATTTTCTAATAAAATAATAATGCACTTCTACCAAATAGAATGTTAGTAATGTATTAGGGACTTTTGATTGTGAGTTAGATTGTATTTGGCATAGAACTTGGAAATGTAACTTGAATGTAAATATGCTGCAAAATGTTGAATGTATGCATAGGAATACTTTTTCTGTCAATGCCAAATACCTGTTTTAAATGAATCTTAGAAAGTACACTCTTCCTTTGCACAATGAAATTTCTTTATAAAACTCATGATTTTGCTCTTCCAGGATAACAAACTGCCCTAAAGATTAGGAGTCATTTTCTTGTTATCACAGGTGTCAATATTTTTCTGTATTTTGTTTATAATTTTATTTTTAAATAAAATGTTTATAAAGATAAACGAATATTCCTTAATCTCTTTTTTGCCTCCTGGATACACTACTGTCAGTAGTCTGGAGTCACTTGACATTTGATCATATCCATTCATTCCTTTAATCAGCAAAATCTGTTATGCATCTACTTTATGCAAAGCCCTGTTCTTAATTTGGGAGGGGGCATATATATATATATATTTTTTTTTGGGGGGGGGGGGGACACTCTGCGTCTTTGGTAGGTAGATATTCATTCTATTGATGAAGGCCTACAGATCCCAGGGCATAGTTGTAGATGGTGAAAAAACATACACCTAAGTTACTGCTCTCATGAAGCTTATTTTCATGAACTACACAAGAAAATAATTTATAAATTGTGGTTTATAGCCCTGTGACGATTGCTAATGTTTATTAATTGCTTACTACATGCCAGGAGATCTAATAAATATATTTTGTGGTAAGCTTTTACAGAAACCCGATGAGGTAGATACCCGATGTGGTAAGCTTTTACAGAAACCCGATGAGGTAAGCTCCATTTTACAGTTGAGGCAGTGGAGAGTTTATATGATGCATCCAAGACACAATAAGTAGTGGAGCCAAGATTCAAGCACCAGCAACCTGATTCTGATACCTACATTATTAAGTGAGAAAATGTTTGGGATAAGCGTAGCTAGGTAGTTTCCCAAAGGAAATAATAATAGTTAAGCTCAGTCTGGAAAAACAGGCAGCTCACTGAAATGGACTATTGCTCATAGTTTTATTCATCCACCCAACTATTTTATAATTGTCTAGTATGTTTAAGAGCCCTTTCTAGGCAGGGGGATAATGAGAGAACTGCCACTAATTGAGTACCTGCTTTGTATCCTATCCTGTGCATACACATTATTCTAATGCTTAAAATATAAAACTAGCTGGGTGGCATTATCTCCATTTTGGTACAAACAGTTGTATACTCCACAGAGGCCCAGGCTGATTTCTAGGAAAGCTGGACTTTCCTTAGCCACTCAGGGTGTGCAATCAGCTCACACAAAGATTGGCTCCTTCCAGAAAAGCTACTGTTACCCGTGTTTCAGGAGCTGTCGTTGTTTCCTTATATGTGGATCCTCTCGAGAGACATGATCATTTAAAACAGATGTGCTGGGAAGACAAGGCAGCTTACAGTATTTACAGCATACCTCCTTTCATTCTTCATTGCTGCTCCAAAGGTAAACCACACAATCTCAATACTTTGTTAGGTTTCTACACTCACTGACCCACTTCCTCCACCTCCTATTCTTTGGTAATCTGTGACTCTCTGGCTTCCATCTCCGGAACTGCTCCTGAATTTGAACATGCCAACGATACAAGTATTGGATTGCAGTGGTGGATATCTGGCAAGATTTTTAATGCATATACATAATTATTTTATACTTTTTTTTACACAGTTTTTATTTTTTATTTTTTTATTCCTCACTTGTTTTCCATTGATGTTTAGAAAGAGTGGAAGAGAGAAACACGGAAGTGAGAGAGAAAATTGGTTGCCTCTTGCATAGTCCCAACCAAGGTAGGAAGCCTGCAACTGAGATACATGCCCTTAACCGAAATCGTACCTGGGACCCTTCAGTGCACAGCTGATGCTCTATCTACTGAGCAAAACTGGCTAGAGCCATAATTATTTTATAAATGCATAATTGGGATCATACATTTTTAAATAGTTTTATTTTATTACCTTTTTCTCCTTCACCATTATATGCCTCCCAATCCAATGTTAATAACCTAGTATGTGTTCTTACATATAAACAATCTGCTAATGAGGTATAATGTTTATTCAATAAAAATCTATTTTAAGTGTATGCATCAAGGAGTTTTGACAAATAGATTCGGTCATGTAACCAAGGTAACATTTCCATCTCCTCAAGAGAGCTCCCTTGTGTCCTTTGGTAGCCAGCCTTCCTCCCCTGCCATGTAAATGGGATCTTGTGCTTGTAATTTCACTTACTCGCAGCGGCTCCCCATCAAATGTACTACTCTTCATTGTTTCTTATTAGATAAATTTCATCACTACTTAGTCAGTTTTAATTTAAGTCAGATACTGTGGGAGATCCAAAGCCTATATATACTTTTTCCACTACACCATCCAGTCTCACAGAACAAAATGCATAAAAATGAGGAAATAAGAAAATGTATGTTGTGTGAAAGCAACTATTTACAAACACTGTTGTAGTTTTTTCTTTTTCTTTTTTTTCCAGGGTGGGATCTTTTGATAGAGTACTTTGAGAATCTGATCTAAGCTCTGGAGCTTTCCTCCAGAAAAATAAGCACACACATAAAATTTTGCACACTGTTTCAGGAGGTTTATTGAAATCCTTCATTGACCTCAGGTTAAATCAAGTGTAAGATGAATGAAGGGGAATAAGGAACCAGGACAAAGGGAATGTGAGGAATGATTGGGTGGCTCTTTCAGTGACTGAGCCTAACAGGAATCTAGCAGGCAGAGGAGGATCTCTGAAATCTCTGGAGGATCTCCGTTTTCTGACCTGCCCCTGGGCTTGGTGCTGGTGGTGAAGCCAGCCTTGGTGCACAGCTTGTTTCTTCCCACACACAGCCAGGCCCAGCAGAGGCAGCCAAACACTGTGGATTTCTTTGTAGCTACAAACAGGTTGCCCAAGGCCAGGCACAGGCAGTGTGTGACATTGACTTGCACCAGACTCCTACCCAAAAGGTCCCAGAAAAGACACACCCAGTGGCCGGCATCAAACAACATCAGAGCAGGATCCAATTATTTTCACAAAGCAGCATCTCCAAAGAAAGATCTAGTTGGGCAGCAGACCCTGCTGAGGCAAATTTCACTTCATGTGGTCAGCACCTACAGAGCAGCTTGTATATGTGGTCAGGGTCAACTCTCACCATCAACCAGCCTGAGGGTCAATCCCACACAAAGGGGCCAATAGCAATCAAGACTCAGTTTTAACAGGAGGTCTCAAACCACACAAGGGACATTCCTGGAGCACCCAGCTAGGGAATCAAGGAGACTGTGCCACTGGGTTCTATAGGATGCTTATTACATAAGGTCATCCTACAAAGACTGGGAGATATGCCTAATACAAAGAAACAAACACAAAGAGGCAGCCAGAATGTGTAGACAAAGAAACATGCCCCAAATGGGGGGTGGGGGTTGGGGGAGAGGAGAAATCTCACAAGAAAAGAAATAAAAAGGAGCTAAATAAAACGGAGGTAAGCAATTTACTAGATATAAAGTCCAAAAATATGTTTATAACAATGCTGAAGAAACTTAGAATTTCAACAGCATGAAAAATGACATAGAAACCATAAAAAAGAACATGTCAGAAACGAAGAATTCAATCTCTGGAATGAATACACTAGAAGGAATAAACAGTATGTTGGATGAAGCAGAGGATCAAATCAGTAATTTGGAAGACAAGTTAGCAGGGAAAACCCAATCAGGGAAGCAAAAATTAAAGGATATGTGGGACAACATGAAGCTTAACAATATCCGCATTGCAAGGATACCAGAAGGAGAAGAGAGGGAGCAAGGGATCGAAAACCTAATGGAAGAAATAATGGCTAAAAACTCCTTAACCTGATAAAAGAAAAAAGACATGCAAGTCCAGGAAGTGCAGAGTCCCAAACAAGATGAACCCAACGAAGTCCACACCAAGACACATAATAATTAAAATGGCAAAGGTCAAAGACAAAGAATCTTAAAGCTGCAAGAGAAAGATAGTTAATTACCTCTAAGGGAGCTCCCATAAAACTGTCAGCTGATTTCTCAATAGAAACATTTTAGGCCAGATGGAATTGGCAAGAAATATTCAAAGTGATGAAAAGCAAAGACCTACAACCAA